AAACAGATGTGACATATAAAATAAATACATGCAACTGCAATTTAGTTCACTTGCAGAAACCTCAGCTCTAATAGCTACCTGTGTGCAGGGAGGACTGGCTTACAGCTAGGGCCTGGGACTGAGAATCAAGAGAAAGAAAGAAATGCAAAAAAAATAAAAAAAGGAAATAATTTCTTTCTTAAACTCTTGGTCTATCCATGAGGGAAGTTGGTCACGGGGCACTTTCAAAAGTACCATAGCCAAAGATGAATAAATTATGCTGAACTGGTAAAAAAATGTTCCCCTTAAGACACTTATAACCTGTTTCTCTTGACCGTTACACAGAGATGTTTCCTGCCCTCGGCTGTGCCTGTGTGCTCTCCGGAAGCAAAACCAGACAGGGGGTACGTCTGCGTGCAACTTGAAGCAACTGAGCTCAATACTGAGCTCAACCAACAGATCTGCCCCCAAGCCCAACGTCTCATCCCGTACCAAACTGGTGCAAGCGGCAGGTGACACTCCCATGCTAACAACCAGCTCCCCTCTCCCCTCAGTCCCTTGGTAAATCCCCGGCAGCCCTTCCTGTCCGTCTTTTAAAGTGAAGGATTAAATGGCACCTACACACAATTTTAAAATAACCCTTTTAGAGTACGGTTAGTCTGCAATGTTGTTGCTGTACAAAATGTGACCATTGAGAAATGTGGCCACTTAGAAGCATTTCCCCTCACTGCTGAGACCGGCCAAAGGCTCCAGTGGCCAAAGCTTGCAAATAGTCAAAGTTAATTGCTGCTCTGGCCCTCCGCCTCTCAGCTATGGCAGGACAGAGGCCTTGCCCCTGTGAAAAGCAAAAGGGCAGGGGCTATGTTCTCGGGGGTCACTGTGCCCTGTGCACAGCCCTGCCAGCTTTTAAATCCCCAGCGCACAGGTACGGAGTGCTGGCCCAACACTGCTGCTGGACCCAAAATCAAATGCTCAAATTCTAACAATTTAGGTAAGACAGCTGAAGGTACATTTTGACTTTGGAAAGAGTTGCTTCATAACATTTATGTTTACCAAAGACCTCAACAGGCTGCCGTAACCGCAGCTGTGGCTTCCTTGGGTATCTGTAACATACTTGCTAGCAATGCGATCGGTGTCTGTACCTGCCGATGAAAGCTGCATTTCCATGGGCTTTCCACGCTATCCCTGGTCACTGTCTGCCTCTTTCACCCCTTATTTTTTAACAAGTTTAATTCTCCATGGGGAATACTAAGTTCAGTTTGAGGGTGGTGGTGCTCATATGGTTGTGATGGTAGAAGGAGGCATCTGGAATGCGTCCTGGTTTTGGCTGCATGCTCTTGATATAAACTGTTTATACAATAGTAACATACAGAGCTTGTCACATCTTTCTGGAGGCACTGTGGTATTGGGGTGAATTGTGAAGGTGCTGATCTCCTCCTGGAGTATCCTCTACCATCTCCAAGAGGAGACATTCAGCAGACAATCCTCAAATCACACACATGTACCTGAGCTTACTAAGATCGAGTAGAGTAGAGTAGAGTAGAGTAGAGTAGACTAGACTAGACTAGACGAGAGTAGAGCAGATATTTCCTTAGGCAAAATGCATGCTTCTAACTTAGATGGAGTCAGCATTACTGTTTGTGAAATAAGGTCTTTTCTTCGGTTTTGCACTTATATTTTGCAAGATCTGTTGACCTATGAGGTCTCCAGTTCCTAGATGCTACTAGAATAACAAAGGCATCACCTAAACAAACATTGACTGCAGTCTCAAGAAAGTAATCAAAGCTTTCTGGTCCACAGAGGCTAAATTACATTCAACCTCAAAAGTGACAAATTTTACTTATTTCAAATGTTGAAAAGCCTTACCTTTTGGTAAGTTCCTAACAATCCATCCTTTTAAATTGTTTTCAGGCAATATTCATTCATTAATACTCCATTAAGAATATCCCTGTCCTACTCTGGAACGAGGGCTGTAATTTAGTAATGATCGCAGAAAAAAAAAGACAATGGCTCTTATTTCTGCCGTGTTTCAAAAGAAAATAAAAGCAAGCACCTGATAGAAGTCTGAAGCATTACATATTACACAGCCATATTACACGGCTGGTAATTCTTATTCCATATCTCTTATTTCAATACAAATCCACCTTGGCTGTTTTGAAGACTAGTGCATGTGCCATATTGGTCATTCAGTCCGAAAAATTTTATATTCCTCTGCTCTCCACAGTTTCAGTGCAGTTCTTCACTACAGTATTTTCAGACTAGCCATCTTCTCCATTTTCCACCTTTGCACCCAAGGCTTTTTTTGCAAGAGGTATACACGTGTTTCAGCAGTGAAACCATACAGTAGTGTTCCTTTAGTATTGCTACAGTAGTGCTGAAAACACAAATCTGAGTTTTGCTCAGATTTGTTAATAAACTTTTAATTCTTTAGCTAGTTGTTTAAAGGTGCAGTGTGCAGCTATTTACAAGAATTTAGAATTGCTCAGCTTCTCTGTATCTCTTTACAGAGAAGTTCATGATAATAAACTTTTAATTCTTTAGCTAGTTGTTTAAAGGTGCAGTGTGCAGCTATTTACAAGAATTTAGAATGAAAATGTGAAATGCACTCAAAGAGTTGAGGTCACAGCTCGATGTTCAAGTGGAGATCAATGACGAGTGGTGTTCCTCAGGGGCCAGTACTGGGACCGGCACTGTTTAACATCTTTGTCGGTGACATGGACGATGGGATCGAGTGCACCCTCAGCAAGTTTTCCGGTGACACCAAGCTGTGTGGTGTGGTCAACATGCTGGAGGGAAGGGATGCCATCCAGAGGGACCTGGACAGGCTGGAGAGCTGGGCCCATGTGAACCTCATGAAATTCAACAAGGCCAAACACAAGGTCCTGCACATGGGTCAGGGCAACGCCAAGCACAACTACAGCCTGGGCAGAGAATGGAACAAGAACAGCCCTGAGGAGAAGGACTTCAGGGTGTTGGTTGATTAAAAGCTCAACGTGAGCTGGCAGACTGCGCTTGCAGCCCAGAAAGCCAACCGTGTCCTGGGCTGCATCAAAAACAGCGTGGCCAGCAGGTCAAGGGAGGTGATTCTGCCCCTCTGCTCTGGTGAGACCCCACCTGGAGTACTGCGTCCAGTTCTGGGGGCCCCAGTACAAGAAGGACATGGACATGTTGAAGCAAGTCCAGAAAAGGGCCATGAAGATGATCAGAGGGCTGGAGCACCTCTCCTATGAAGACAGGCTGAGAGAGTTGGGGTTGTTCAGCCTGGAGAAGAGAAGGCTCCAGAAGACCTTATAGCAGCCTTCCAGTACATGAAGGGGGCCACCGGCAAGCTGGAGAGGGACTGTTAACAAGGGCATCGAGTGATAGGACAAGGGATAATGGCCTTAAGCCGAAGGAGGGTAGACTTAGATATTAGGAAGAAATTCTCTACTGTAAACAGTGATTCCTTACTGGAACAGGTTTCCCAGAGAAGCTGTGGATGCCCCATCCCTGGAAGTGTTCAAGGCCAGGTTGGATGGGGCTTTGGGCAACCTGGTCTAGAGCAGAGTGTCCTTGCCCATGGCAGCAGGGGTGGAACTGGATGATCTTTAAGGTCCCTTCCAACCCAAACAATTCTATGATTCTGTGATTCTAGGAAATACAACACTGAAGATCGAAGCAGAATCTTCTCTAAGCATGTTACACAGCTGCCTCTGGCATTACTTAGAGAACTTTATTTAACACAGAGTATGCTTTGACAACATGCCCATCTCTACACCTTGCCTTACAGTGAGCAGCGAAAAGCTCAACATGTTACAAAAACCTGCCCCATTTCATAGCTTGCCTTGTGATTTTCTGGAATGCCACCTACCACTCCCACCCAAGTCACTTGCCCAGAGCACAATCTTGCAGGAGAAGGGTAAGGATAGATCAGGTCCACTCCACTGTGCAAAAGTTAAAAATATGCTGAGAGTCTGAGTAAACCAGAGAAAGAATCTCAAAAATTTGGTTAGTTTCTACGTGAAGTGCAGAACTGATACGTATTGCTAAGTAGGTAATAAGGATCTACTAAATACATCATTTATTATTGATACTCCTTCCCTTGAGCAATATTTATTGATAGATCACTCTAAATCATTCTTCCATATTTATTCTATGTATTTTAACTGTTAGAACATTTTACTAATGTAGAGCAAAACACAAAGTCATAAATGTCAATATGAAAACATTAGCTATATGAATTAAAAATAGTAAATCAGTATAGCTTTGTGTAATACCCATGTATTTATTTGGAGCCCATTTTATTTCTACCAACCCTACAATCAACCAATACAGGTGAATCTTCTGCTTTGAAACTGTGTTAAGACTGCCAGTTTCTGATATATCTACCACAGTGAAAGAATGAATGCTAAGTCTTTTTTTAAAAGATTTTTATTAAATATTCAGTAAGCTCTATTAGACAGATTTATCTAATCTCATTACTGAGTTAAAAGTGCCATCAGTCAAGCCAAACATGCTGAAAAGCATATTCTCTTCGGTCTAATCCACGTGAGGTCTTGTGAACTTGGTATGCACACAATTTGTGACATGCAAAGCTCTATCAAGACCATAATACATCTGTCAACTACGTTTTTAATGAAACTCAATGTCTGCATATCAAGAAACCACAAGTTCAGCACACATGAATATAAAAATACAGCTTGCACAATCAAGTGTATAGACTCATTGAATAGCAGTGACATCACTAAACAAAGTTGACTTTGTGCTTCACAGCTAAACTGTATACGGCTCAACAGTTTGGTGCACTGAATCATTGGGGCTGACAACAAGTCTTTGAACGGCACCCAGAGGCCCAAATGATTACAGTGTGAGATATCTGTAAAACTGTTTATTCTGTTTTGTCATTGTGATGGCTCAAAAAAGACAACAATCCTATCATTATTATTATTAGAACACATTTTCAGAACCTTTTTACAGGAGAAGTGTTTTACCATCAGTACCCTGCATTGTCCAGCCCAACTACAAGTAGTGGAACATGACAAATATGCATATATATTGCAAAACACAGTTTTAATTTTTATTTTTGAAACATGAGTTTCCACGCAGATTTCACCAGAAATTATATTCACACCCTCAAACTCTATTTCAGATTTTTTTAAATGTCTCTATTAAATAATCAAGATTGTCCTTTATTTCAAAACAGAGCTCCAGCATAAATCACTCCTCTCTCTAATACTTATCGAGCAAAGTAATCTGTATTCCTACAGCACTTAAAGAATTGCACTGTTGCAAATATGTATTACATAGTTATCTGCTTTTTTTTTTTTTTGCAGATACACCTTGGCACTTATTTCAATAGACCAACCATCACTTCACTGATATCCCACAACTTTCTTGCAACCAAGTCATCCATAGCTTTGGGCAGGAGTTCCTCCTCTTTGCAGTCCCCAAAATGTTTTCCTGACACACCTTCAACATCAGGAGAAGAGGCCAAATAAATAGAAGTCTGGGCTCCTTCCAGAGGTGTTTTGAAGAAAGCCCATGACACCAGGTTGAAGAGGGGTTTTGCCAGCAAAGGAATATTCACATATCTGCCTAGATTTGTTCTGACAATCCCAGGATGAAGTGAATTGACAGTGACTCCTGTTCCTTCTAACCGACGGGCTAGCTCCCTTGCAAACAATATGTTAGCCAGTTTACTCCGACTGTAACAAAAGCTTTTATTGTAACTTATTTCACTGTTCAAATCTTCAAAGTTGATCTCTCCATATTTGTAAAGCTTTGAGGATACTACCACAATCCTGCTTGGAGCAGAATTTTTGAGGAGGCCCAGAAGAAGGTTGGTGAGCAAGAAGTGACCCAAGTGGTTTACACCAAATTGCATCTCAAAACCATCCTCTGTCTTCATGTACGGACACTGAAAGATCCCTGCATTATTTATCAGAACATCCAGCCTCGGCTCTTCCTTTAAATAGGAAAGAAAAAAATAATTCCATTTTAGAAGTCATGCAAAACATACTATTATGCTTAGTATTTCTCATTAGCCATTGTTAGAAATAAATAATTTCATTCCTAGTTTTGTGAATTGTAACTCACTAATATTCTCTTAAAGCACTGCTGAAAAAAACTCGTAAGTTGAACTACCACAAAACTGAGGACTTGACCCCAGCAGGATGCAGGTACATGAGAGTAAGTCTGCATCTACTTTTAACGCAGGCAGAGAACACAATCGCCTGCTTCTCCAGGAGCATCTTTTCTATAGCAATTCAGTGAGAATTTACCTTTGTGATGCGGTTCGTTTTTCCCTAGAAAGTAACCTGCTTATTGCACTGCAAAAGCACACACATTAATTTATGGCAAACCTCAGCCATAGGCAAGGGGTCTGCTGTGCAAAAGACATGCAAACATGGAACAAAAAGTGTTAGCTCAAAGAACTAACCTCAGGGTTAAAGACAAACTTTTATATTGTAGACCCACCACCTCACTGGGGTGATGCAATGAAAAACTTTGCAAAACAACGTTCTCATGTTTGAACACTATCTTATTTTAAAATCACTACATGTCATTGTGCTGCTTGGTGAGAACTATGGAGCAGAATGCATCATAGAAAAGTAACATTCATGTTTCATACAATTTGAGTCAAACAGGTCTACCCAAGAACTAAGGTGTGTCTATGGGACTGAGGCTTGAAATACACGATGGCATGTTTGTACACGCTATTTGATGAATCAGTATTCTGGTACAGGTCAGTAGAAAACAAAGACTCAAGGATGCCTGTTACACTCCACAGAATCAGGAAACATAAGTAATTAAGAGAGAGGGTGGTAGGATAATTTAAATTTATGTATAATACATCATGCACCTCATGCTCCAGCATCCACTTAAAGAGGCCTCCAATTTACCCAAAAGAGTAACTTTTTCAAAAAATACAGATTAAAGCTGCCTAAATAAGCTCTGAATTCAACACTTTCACCCACCTCTGACAAAAGGCTGTGAAAGTATCACAGTAAATTTATACTTGCATGAATCAGAAGCAAATGTATTCACTTTATAGAAAAAGCAGGATGAGTTTTCTTTGCTGCTAATTCTTTAAACCCAATGCAGAGACTGGAAGGCAAGCTGAGATCGTTTTGATGATACAAATAGAGAACCTCAAAATGAATTTTGTACCATTTGCCTTTTATTTGACTGTCATCAACAGCAACAATACAGAGAGCAAAACCCTAATCTGCACTTGGCATTCAGTTAATGATGCTGGCATTTGATCACACAAAACACCAAGTACTTCCATCTCAGACTGATTTCCGCAGGACTTGAGGTTGCTCAGTGTCTCATATAGTTGGGTCGCTGAGGCATGATGCAAACAGCATCAAATTCACTTCTCCTCTTCACCCAAAGGGAACATAACGGTTACTATGACTAAACAAGGATAGGACTGAAGAAGTACTCATTGTAGATCTGCTCATTGAAGTGATACTTCTTTCTTCTTACAGGAAAAACATTACTTTAGAAACTTTCTGTAGCATCTGACTGCAGGATTTATTTTGCCAGACTTAACACTTCAAGAAGCAAGACCTCCACTTGTGCTGTTTTTTTGAGACTCCTAAATTTAATAATCTAGAGTAATGTGACCAGTGCCAAGCAGGCAGCTGCGACCAAATGCAACAGAGAGCACAAAACATTGCTTTGATGGGCAATGCTATTCCTTGTAGCTTCTGAGCTTGGCTCCATTTATCCATGGAGCCCTTCAATATCTCTCTTATTTTTTGCAGTGAGGCTAAGGAATGAAAGATGTAATCACCTTCAGTTCTGGAAAGGAAAAATCCTGCAAATTGAGTCAGGCAGTGGGAGTGCATTGTTTCCCCATCCCGCCGATACTTAAGTCATCTTCATCTCATACATAGAGCATCAAAAGAACCCCACAAACAAATGGCTCCAAAAAGGAGACACAGGTTAGAGAAGGTAACATGAATGTGGGTGGGACAGCTCTTGAAAATACTACTTGAACTCACATCCCCTGTCATTCAGCTGCTTTTGGAATTATTTTGAAAATGAAAGTTAGAATGCAGGTGTCAGCAGCACTCTGCAGATAAACACACTCCTTTTCTCTACCCATTTCTCACTCAAAGTCACTTGTACTGGCTTTACCAATGAACTGAAGCTAATAAATTTACATTTGGTGGTATTTTACACTATAAAAGATGTAATTTTTACAAGTTAGGCAGTATGTTTCTTTTCTGCTGTTTATTCTGCATATCATTTTGTATATTCATATCTTCCCAGGACACACAAGCAAGATTAGAGCTTATCACTGATTTGTATGTATGAACGTACATAACCAAACTGAGCCCCACTAGAGAACTTAAAACTTGACTTTTTCCACACATTTAAGTTTTAGAGAAGCTATTTGAAAATTAATGCAATAAAGTCCCTGTTTTTTTCCCACTCACAACAGCATCAAAGCATCTTTCAAGTACTTAACAAGCAGTTCTCTGAGCAGCAGCAAAATGTATCAAGCCTGGCTTCCCACGACTTTGTGTCTCATGGCTTGTGATGCTAGATGTGGTGAGATGAGAGTCCCCACTGATGCTTTTCACGGGAATGGAGTAATTCCTCCCACAATGCCTCTGTCTGCTCTGTGGTGTCTAATAACACAGCAGAACTCATCTAGTGGCATTTCTGTCAGGATAATCAACTGGATTTCCTGGTTTTCAGGAAAGCTGCAGAAACTTTATATATTCAAAACCATCTGTCTACTAAACTCAGCTAGCACTGGTCAAGAGATTCAAAACGGGGGGGTGTCAGTCTGGGGAGGAGGCAGAAGGATGGCTGGAGCTGGGAGCAGTGCGCTCACGTAGTTTACTTCTTTGGCTGAGACCAGACTGAGCTGCAACGCTACAATAACAAAGGCAGGTTACTGTCGAGTCAAAAGGAGGGAAAAGGCGGCAAATAATTTATCTCATACAGAAACAAGTGTTTCCTTTTCAGAACAGCAAGTCCAAACTAGTAAGAAATCTGTGCTTCGAGATGCTGATTTAAAATCATGGCCAATTTCCTTCTACCCTCCCTCCAAAGGCTGCGGTGAACTCGCAACACCCCGCACCCCCAAAGCGGAGTGCCAGCAGGAGGAACGAGCCCTGAAAACACGGAGGCCCGAGGACGCGGCCACCACCGCGCCGCTAGCACCCAGCTCGCCCACCCCGCGTCCTCTCACGGGGAGCCCGGGCCCTCAGCGGCTGGC